AAATGTGCAGTGTTGGTGAGGCTCCAGGAACAAATGGGAACCATTGGTTTAAAGCATGTTTGGACCAACTTAAAGCTGATCTACCTTAGCCGGCCTGCAAAATCAACCATTACTATTACTTTTGCTTATGCTTAAAGTAGTTTTTGTTCAAATCCCTAACCTTTCCCTAAAGTAATAAAGAGAAGTTCACTCAAAAATTAAAGTTCTGTCATCATTTACTCAACCTCATGCCATTCCAAACCTTTTACATTCTTCAGTGGCACACAAAAGAAGATATTCTGAAGAGTGTTTCAAGTGTTTTTGTCCATACAATGAACACCATTACCCCAAAACAACATAGGACCCCAATGACTTTCATTGTATGGACAAAAGAGACATTTTTCCAAACATCATCTTTTGACTAATTTCACACCTAACCATCTGTCATTTTTATAAACCTCACATTTTAATAGTACTGGTACTGTACCAGTCACTTCCATGGCAACAAGTGTAAATAAATGAAAAGTCATTGGGGTTAGAAAGAGTGGTAGTACTTGAGTAATACTGTGGAAAAGGTGAAGGCGTTCAGTAAAACTAAATCAAACTTGTCATCACTCAAGTCCTGGTGTTAAGACGTGTCCTGTATTTATGACCCAGCCCTGGTGAAAATCAACACTTGTCGTAATCCAGCCATTTGGCCCAAAAATATCAGAGAGAGGTCTATCTCTCAAAACAATCTGAAAATTCTATATTTCTCACTAAAATGTTTATTGGAAGCGGAGACAGACTGTTTCATCAATGTCCCTTTGTTGCTTAACTTGCCGTAAGCGTTGAACTATAGAGCAGCCTGCCAGTTCCGTGATAACAACTCAAAATAGAAATGTGGGCTGTCAATGCCTCCATTGAATTAAACACAATGGCAAAACTCTGAGAGCATGGCTATTCTTTGTGCGATGCTTTTAAGAAATGAATCACCATGGTTCCCAGGCATCAACCACAAACACACACGTACAAAGCAAATCATAAGGAACATAGAGAGCATTTGTTGTGTTACAAAAAAAAAATTCACAACTTTCCAGGTTCAACATCTGTCATTATTGAAAAAACATTAGCGTCAGCTGCAGCTTCTGAATTGGCTATAAGGTTAAGAAAACAAATTAATTACTAATTACGCAATGTGAGAGGAACAAGCCTACGCGGGATCAATTTAGCCCTCTTCTATCAGAGTCTAGAGTTCTAGGAGGGCAGACGTTGAAAAGTGCAGGTCTGTGATAACTAGATGAGTGGAAACAATCCAGGCTTCACTCTAAAGGCTGTCTGTGAGTCAGCTTAGTGAAGGTTACAGTCAGGCCTGTCTTGTATAATCTCCTCTCATAATAGAATGTATAAGGAAAAACAACACAATGCATGTAAAAAAAAAATTTCATGAGAAGATTAAATAAAATGCTAGTATGCAATAAATAATAAGTTAACTTTTTTTAAAAAAAAACAATAATTCTTTATTATTCATTTAATATAATTATTTAAATTATATTTTTACATTTTAAAAATGTAAAATTTAGGAAAATATGAATGGCAAAAAAGCAAGATATTATTTGTATTCTGTTGAAGTGGAGTTTAAAGAGTTTTGCTTGATAAAGCACTCAGTTTTGAGCATGACATAGATAATGTAACCAATCCAAAGTTGCATGTTCTTCGAGACAGATGGGAAAAGTTTTAGGATAGGCTATAACCCATTAATGGCATATATAAAATATAATATAAAATTCAGATTATTTCTAGGAAGTTGGTGATGGCTTCTAAGTATAGTTCTCTTCACTTAATTGGTACTACACTGTGGATTTGACCATCCAGAGAAAACTCCAAACCATTCAACTCTATGTGTCACAAGAACTGGTAAAACCTGCTCTTGTCATGACCAATTCTTCCTAAACACAAATGATAACTCTGGATCACTACATAAACACATGCTGGTTTTCAGTGTTGGCAACTTTTTTTAAGCAATGTTGCTTGGGCACTTTCCCATTGAGAATGGGTAACACATATCTATCTGGATACTTTAGATCGGTCGTAGGCCCTGTGTCTCACCTGGTTGCCCATTGACGGCAACATTGCTCAAAAAGTTGCCCCGTGTATCATCAACCTTAGTGTTATTAAAGTCCACATAGCAGTACAAAATACGTTTTTGCGACAAATGCCAGCATTAAATATTTCTTACCAGCCATATTTACTGTATTTTTAATTTATTTAATAATTATTTAATTTATTTTAATTAGAGATGCACCAATATTGAAATTCTGGCAGACAGCGATAACCTGATTTAACACTTTGACGTTAAGACCAATAAATGTGTGATTTTTTTATTTTTTATTAATTAAGTTACAATTTTGTATAAAAAGGCCCTCAATTAAAAGCAATAATCTCTATAAGTAAAATTAGCCAGCACATCAATGTGGCGGCATTATGTTAATATTTCTACATAGTGACGTAGATATGTGGGGGCGTGTTAGAACGAGCCGCTTTAGGGGGGCGTGGCAGAGTCTTAACTTTGATAAAGAATATCTCTTTGGTTTTGAGACTTTAGTCTTTGGAGCTTCAGGGATCTTATCTATGCACAATCAGCTTGTAACACTCCACAGAGAAAGGAAAACTTGAAAATGACCCCTTTATTAAAAATTTACTCTGAAATAAGTGCTAGACAATGGCAAAAATAATTTGAAAGTATTCAATATACTTAGTATGTAAATATTTAATATCAGTCAATTAAAAAAAATAAATTTAAATCAATCAATCAGTCAATCGATAAAATCACCAATATGGTACCAATACATTGGGCATCATAAATATTTTTACATAATATCATACAATAATATAAACTACACCTGCTGCTGAAAAAATAATAATAACCAGCAGATGACGTGAAAACAGTGATTTTCATTTCATTTTAGTATGCAATATTCTCTATATTTGTTGCTAAATGGATTTCTGGAAAAGAAAACAATCACCGATATTTTCTAGATAAACTTCTGATGGTAAATTTTCCACATAAACGTTTCCATTTTACAGTTTGTAATGCTTAGTTTTGACGCGCTTTGATAGCTGCCTCACTTATTCCGCTCCAAATCACCATCTCTCTCTAGAAATGCACGATTTACGTTACACATTCACATTAAGGCACAAATGGAACAGACTACTGGCTCACAGATTTCTGAGAATAGTGCTCTTGAATGTTTGTTTGGGAAAAGGCTGAGACTTCAGCACAGTAAAAGCTCTTGTTCTCATGAAAATAGCCCAACCACTGTTAGGAACCTTGGGGACATGGTGAAATGACAGACAAGATACAGTGCATTGACATGCCCCCCTCGGGTTAAAACATGGGGTCAAGTAGCACGACTAAAACATGCACCGACAGAGTTTGTACGCAGAATTGCTAAATGGGAAGTTATAGTGAATATATGATGCTGCTGCTGGTTTATGTATGTTCTCTAAAGTGAAGGATGCACAGAATCAGCACTCCAGAATGAAAGTTCTTGTACAGTGGAGACATAATTATAGCCTTTTCCAAGAAATGCTGTTTTGACGTCCAAACCAAATTCTTTAGAATCTTGAAAGATGGCCTTTCATATCTGAATGGGCATTTGTTGGTCACATTAAGCAAAATTATGCACTAAATTTAATGCTGAAAATTGTACAGTGAAGAGAGTTGTGAAAAAATACTTGACAAGCTTGTTGGAGCCATGATGCATTGAGCTGTGGTGTTCATTTTGGGTAAGGTTCGAGTCTGGCTTGCAACATGCCCTGGATCCCATCCCTATCCTCTCTCTCCAAAATTTCCTGTGTCCTCTGGACTACATTTCAGTCTAATAAAGTGGCAAACTCCTCCTAAAAGCTCCATATTGTGTTTCAGCCTTCATTCAGAAAAAGACGTTGCTACTGGAATATTTCTGTACATAATCAGCATACTGTGAATACACAAAGACATGCACGTTCTTTACCAGCTCATACCATTTATTACAATGTACTTTCTGACAGTAATTTAATCATCGCATTTATTCTCAACCAAAAATCAAAAGTCAGACAACAGAACATCTCTCCTCAACAAGCTGGTGTTTGAGTATCATTCATATATACAGCAAAATCAAGAGTTCTGATTGAGTAACTTGTAGATCTGTGCTGGCTTGAACTGTTTGCCTGAGACTCTATGGATTACTAGCTTCATAAGACCTCAATATATCGTCAGAAGCCACACGTATTAATTCTGTGCTGCCTGATATGCTTTTTTGACTCTTAAAGTGACTGTAGCCATTGACTTGCATTTTATGAATCACCAAGGGCGACAGTTTCAGCTAAAAATCTTCTTTACTGTTCTAATGAAGAAAAAAAAGCACTGAGTGTTTGAGAGCGCTTCAGAGGCACAGTTTTTTTCAGTTGAGATGCTTTGGTTGCTATTATACAGAATGTCTGTGGAAGTAATGTGGCAGACGCATCATGAATGAAATTTTTTTTTAACCATTACTTTCCATATCAGTATTGTGGTAGTCCGTGGATCCCATCTGGTACAGACATTAATACTACATGAGAAGCAATATTAACTTCTCCTCTATTGTTGTTCAGTAGGATATGGTGTCGTTGTGGCATTTGTCCCGCCCCTTCTTCACTGTGATTGGATGACAGTGACAAGTGCTGCGTTTTCCTCAGATTTGAACACTTTTTTAATTCTCTGCGCCAAGTGCAGTGCTTAGCATGAAATAGACACTTTGAGCCTTGTCATGCTGCTGGTGTTTTTACATATGCAGCACTCCTATTGAAAACAACTGAATAACAGGCCTAATACCTACTTAAGGTTAGAGGTTGAAAAATCATTTGGATGAATAATTCATTGAGATACAGGTTCAAAACTTCTGATCCAACCAAACAAAAGCACTGATAATGCATTACAAGATGCATTAGAGTCAATTCATTGCTTCGCCTTATGTGATCTAATGGTGCACTGAAATGGAGGGTGGGAACTGTACGCCAACCTTAGTGATGAGTGTACGGTACTCCTCCACCAGATGGTCATTGTTATGACATCCGGCCAGTAGCTGCCACACCTCCCCTCTCAAGGCCTCTGGAACACCATTGCGCACCAGCGCCGGGAGCTGTTTGGGTCGCACGGCCAGGTTCAGATGCCTGATGAAACATTACAATACCAACAGGGACTCATGGTTACAAATGAATTACAGCACTGCAATTTAAAGGGATAGTTCAATAAAAATGAAAATTACCCATGATTTACTCACCCTCAAGCCATTCTAGGTATGACTTTCTTCTTTCCGACAAATACAATCGGAGTTATATTAAAAAATGTCCTGGCTCTTCCAAGCTTTATAATGGCAGTGAATGGGGGTTGAGATTTTGAAGCCCAAAAAAGTTCATCCATCCATCATAAAAAGTGCCCCACATGCCTCCGGGGGGCTAATAAAGGCTTTCTGAAGTAAAGCGATGCGTTTGTGTGGTTCTTGCGAGACTAGCATATTCTCACCATAGCTTACGCTACACCTACGCCATCTGCTGGAACGTCACTCTCTCGTGAGCACGCGTACGACAGTTAGCAGAAGCTAGAGATTGCGTTTTATAACATTTTAAATATGGATATTTTTCTTACACAAACGCATTGATTCGCTTCGGAAGGCCTTTATTAACTTCCCGGAGCCGTGTAGAGTACTTTTTATGATGGCTGGATGAACTTTTTTGGGATTCAAAAGCTCAACACCCATTCACTGCCATTATAAAGCTTGAAAGAGCCAGGACATTTTTTTTACATGACTCCGATTGTATTTGTCTGAAAGAAGCAAGTCATATACACTTAGGATGGCTTGAGGGTGAGAAAATCATGAGGTAATTTTCATTTCTGGGTGAATTATCCCTTTAAGACCATGTTGAGTCTGCACTGCGAAACAATGAGGACATTTTTTCATTTGTTGTGAATCTGTAACTTAATTTTAACACAAAATAAATGTGATTTGTATGCTTTCCACCTTTTGTAACAGGTGCACCACAATCACCGTTCTGCGAAATTTCACAAGTGAAATCCAGTGATTTGACATTTCTCATGAGGGCGAAAGATTTCCCTGAGCAGATTTTGCTATGAGTTCAAGTTAGTCGCGTTGACCAACAGAAGGCTGCTTGGATTAAATTGACTTTAAATTGAGCTGTGCTTCATAGAAGGCTACAATATTGACAATGGACCTTTTTGCCTGTGTGTGCCCGTTCCTTTAAACGTTTTTCATAAATATGGCCAAAAACACTGCAGACTGGCAATATACAAACAACAAGAAGTGTCAAGAACTGCAAAACTGAATGCTCACATAGAATTAATGAGTAGGTCTATCTGTAAAAAAAAAAACATAAACCCGATTATAAAACTCTGCTGAAGACAAAAGAAGATATTTTGAAAAAAATGTCAAATGTTTTTGTCCATTTATTACAGATACTGGGGTCCACTATAGTTTTGTGTGTCTGTATAGTTGTGCGTGTCTGTCGTTTTTATTAATATATTCATTTTATTTTGGTTTTAGTTTTAGTTATTTTAGTACATCAAGTTAAAGTAAATAAAAATGTGAAATTTGAAAAAATTTGAAATGGAGAAATGTTGCCTTGGCAACTAGCTGAAATAAAACATTGTTATTACATTTTATTTTATTTCACATTTATTTTATTAAGTAACCATTATTATTTTTAATTTTTTTTAAAGTAATGGTTTGAATTTATTTTCAGTTTTAGTTTACTACAATAATAATCATATGGGCAAGCCCCTCCTCGAGACAATATACACTGTATGCATTAGTGATTCTCAGCCTGCACCACAGACAAAAGTGACTTTCGTGTGTGTGATTTATTCCATAGGACCTTTTACTAAAGGAGAGGCTTATATAAGACACTCTTAACCTACTAGAAGCATAATCTCTGAATGCGGTCGGCACGTTTATCAGCATTTATTTGTATTTGTTTATGGAACGTCTTAAATGTCACTTGTGCCCATTTTCCTTCCTGATTAAAAAGAAAGTGCATAATTCCACTGTGTTGTAATATTCACAAACCGTTTCCCTCAGGGATATTTACCACTGATATTATCCTGCCAATCACTCAAATCAGACAAACTCAGTTGAGATTATTACTGCAAACGGTTTCCTCCAATAAGAAGAACTTTGCTCAGTGCACACTTATTTTACCATTTGCTATTCATCAAAAATACAGAGATTTTATTCACAAACGCCATGTGTGTGAATCGATTTATAGAAATGTTGTGCATTTAAATAACTTGAACTTTCGGACAAGGATTGTCAGATTTGATGATCCCCTTGTGAGGGAGCCCGCTCCAAATAAATAAAGCCATCTGTAGATTTTCATGCATAGGGTTGGTAAGATATGTTTAAAATAAGTCATTTACATTCATCAAAAATACAGTAAATACAGTATTACAATTGTGAAATAATATTACAATTTAAAATAACAGTTTTTTATGTGAATATATTGTAAGACGTAATTTATTCCTGTGATCAAAGCTGAATTTTCAGCATCATTACTCCAGTCTTCAGAGTCACGTGATCTTTCAGAAATCAGTCTAATATTCTGATTTGCCGCTCAAGAAACATTTATTACTCTTATCAATGTTGAAAACCGTTGTCCTGCTTCATAATTTTGTGGATAACATCCTACATTTTTTTCAGGATTCTTTCATGAATAGAAAAGATCAGCATTTATTTGAAATAGAAATATTTTGCAACATTAAAAATGTCTTTACTGTCACTTTTGATTAATTAAATGCATTTTTGCTGGGGGGAAAAAAAGTCTTACTGACCCCAAACTTTTGAATGTAGTTATTTCAACAATTACATTTTTTTTAATAGTCACTGTCAATTAAAGTCGAAGTAAACATTATAATTTTATTTGGAAAAATTTACTTTTATTTATATAATATTAATCTATTCAGAGGACAACATATATTTTTCTATACACTAACATAAACTTTAAGAAAAATGTTTTCAATTAAAAAATATAATTTATATATTAATATATATTCAATTATTAAATTTATATAAATATTACCAAATAATGAAAATATAAAAATAAAAAAAATGGTTTCAAGGCAGATTCATTCAGTAATATTTTAAATATATAATTTAAGCATTTTTTGTAATATATAGGCTGCTTTATGATGTAACTTCCTGTTTATAGTAGCTCAAATCATTTGAAAAAAAAAAACAAAAAAAGAGAGAGAGTGAGTTTATTTTTTTCTTTCTCTCTAAATGGTTAATTCACATATTCAGTAATGATTCATGGTATCAATTAATACTATTTGTGTTGGTGTCTATTTTCAATTTATGGCAAAACTACGAATACATAAAATGTAATAACATATTTAATAACATCACTTTTCTGGTTAAAACCCTGCGCCTTCATTTCCACTTGTTTTCAAAGCACTCACCATTTAGACAGTAAATCTCCCCAAGTTTCCAGAATTTTTTCACCGCACTCCTTAGACACGTCTCCAGATCCACTCAATAACGGCTCGTCATTGTCTGGAAGGATAGTGAGAGCGAAAGAGAGAAAGAATGAGAGAGATGTTACCAGCTTCAAAGGTTCAGTAAAATCTCCTATTCTACATAATATCTCAAAAATCTCCACATAGTTGTGCTAAAACACATGAATTCCTGGAGGACCTTAAAAGAACCACTTCTGAAGTCATGTACATGGTGATATCAAAGAGAGCTGAGGGCCGCTCACCTTCCTCCTCATCATCCTCAGGAGGTGAGGGCACCATAGAGCCATGAGAGCCAGACGACAGGATGCCGGGGCTCGCTGTGGTCTTCCTCCTCTCTCTCTCGGTCTCGCTCTCTAAACTCACCACTTCATACAGCGTGTCTGAGTTGCTCTTCCTCTCCTTGTTCTCCATCTGAGAGCAGAGTGAAGGTACTGTGAAATACCGAGCTACATACTTTGAATGTGAATGCTGTCTCAAAAGCGAAAATGTGACATTGTGGCCAAAACATCAGGATTTTTAGGGACAGACGTTTGGTTCTCTAGAAAATGAGTCGGTTGAAAAGTGAGGCCCTGCACTGAGCTCGTCCTCACCGGTCTGAGTTTGAGATAGAAGGTCTCGGTGTAACTGCGTTTGCTGAAGGGCCAGAAGAGCCTCTCGTTGGGTGAGCACACCCGAACCCGCGTCTCCAGCAGGAAGCGCACAGGCTCCTCCACCTCCGTGATCACCAGGTCCACCGCCGTCGTCATGTACATGAACTTATCTGTGTCACACAGGTTAAAGAGCAGCAGACGTTCATAGAGGTCATCAAAACATACTCATATTAGTGGAGTTAATGCTTCATGTCATTCACAATCATTTCTTGATTTCCAAGTTTGGCTAAGAAAAAGAAGAATTATTAAATAAAGATAGATTTTATTTGTATTGTACACCATATATCGGACCTCGAGCAAAGTACCTCAAACACCAGGGGAAAAATGTAAAGTAATTAATATTACTGTTGTTGTTGTTGTTGTTATTATTATTATTACAAAATTATAATAATAACTAGTTTATTTGTAAAGCACCTTTAATACATCAAATCCACATCAAAGTACTTCGAAAATCAGGGAAACTCTTCAAAAATGTATACACAATAATAATAAAAATAAGAGTTTTTACATAAATTCATTCAATTCATCCTTTCATACATAAAATCCAGCTAAAAAAGCACTTCAAACATTAGGAAAATACTCATTGTTAAAAATATTCTTCTTCTTATTAATATTATTAATGTTGTTGTTATAATAACAAATTATAAAATTGTAATAAAATGATAATTATTAAGTATTAAAATTCATTATAATTATTATTATTAAATAAGTAAGGGATAATGCATGGCTAGCCTTCCAGTTAAATATTGCGCTGCAAACATCATAAACAGCTTTAAGTTGTCAATGCTGGCAAATAACCATTGTATAAATGGGATAATGCACGGCTAGCTGTGCATTAACCGATTTTAATGCACGACGTGGAAGCCAAGAACCACCCAACGTGAAGCGAAGCCTCCGTGAAGTGCATTAAAATCTGCGATATCAGACCTCTCTACTCTCACTGTGTGTGTGTGTGTGTGTGTGTGTGCATCAATTAAAGCAGAGCATTGATATAGAGCGGTGATGAAACTGACTTGGAACTGCCTGTGCATTAAACTGTTTTAATGCATATCTGCCAGCCAATCAGAATCCAGTATTCAGACAGACCATGGTATAATTTAATAATAATAATAATAATAACACCTTTGGTAATTCAAATATTTTTATTATTATTAAATAAAAATGCATTTTATTTGTATGTAAAGTTTGGAAAATCTGAATGTTTAGAGCCTGTCTAATATCAGTTGGAAGAATGTTCCAGATCTTTTAAGCACAACGGCTAAATGCAGCTTCTCCAGATCTCTCATGGTGTAAATAACAATATTCCAGAAAATCAGCATCAGAAGACCTTAGACGATGATTTGGAACACAGCATGTGTCTGGTTCTGTACCTTTGGGCGTCTCCTCATTCACGGCCTGAAACTGAGGAGTGTTGGGATTCCAGCTCCCTGTGATGATGTAAGACTTCCCATCAGAACTCTTGCCCATTGATTCCTAACAGATGGGCGGAGGGCAGATGAGGAGAGCCAAGAGAAAGAGAGGATAAAACAAAACTAAAGTCAAACATAATCTTTGGGGCTTTGATTCACTCATGGTAAATTAAGCAACGGGGGACAGTCCCGGTCAAAATCCGAACTGCTGATAGTTGGCATTGTCTGCAGAACTAACTGGATGAAGGACAACACTTCCAGACTCATGACAACATCATCACATGGGCCAAGCAAAAGTGCTTTCAGAACTGTGTGTTAATATGAATGTTACACAGTTTAGTTTTGTAGCTACAGGCACATTTTACCTTTTAAAAAAGCATTTTGTTTTCTGTTTGTCCTTTTGTTGCATCCTTGCTTGACACTAACGGCAGATTTCCCAGTCACTGGCCACAGAAAGAGATGCAAATTTCCACAGAAATGGATTGATAAAAATTCTACAAATACAGAATTTTGCAGACTTTCCTTAAAATCAGTGAAGGATATGCAAGGAAAAGTCTACAGATTAAGTCAGAGCCTTGAACTTGATACACTATTATGGTTGCAGACATTTTGCTGCTTTCAACAAAAATTTGTACACGTTAGAAAATATTTCAACATGACATTTTTTAAATGTTAAATAACTATCATTTCTTTGTAATTTCCTCTATCAGCTAAAATATAGCTGTGAAAATATCACAGTGAAAACCCGTTAATTGGTTAACTGTGTTAACTATTAGTTACTGAAGCATAGAACAATGTGTGTCGTTTTGCTGTAAAATATTGTTAAATGTATGTTTTTTGCAAAAACTATATAATTTATGGTATTATTTAACGGTGAAAAACAGTAAAAGAACATTCCAAAAAGTCCCAAAATATGACTACATTTTATTAAAAAAAATGTTTTATGACTAATGTAAATTAAAACGTTATTTAGTTAAAGGGGTCATATGATGCTATGTTAAAGATAATTATTTTGTGTATTTGGTATAACAGAATATGTTGACATGCTTTAATTTTCAAAAAACACATTATTTTTCAAATACTGTACATTATTGTAGGTCCTCTATGCCCCGCCTCTCTCAAACACTTAGTTTTCAACAAAGCCCCTCCTTCCGACAAGCGCAGTCTGCTCTGATTGGCCAGCTGACCCAGTGCATTGTGATTGGCTGAACACCGCAAGCACTCGTCAGAAATGTAACGCCCCTTACCATAATCGCGAGCGTCAGCTTTCAAAGTAAATATCAAGACAGTTAATAATGTTGTTAGTTTTACCATCAGTTCAAGCCCGAAAGGGCAACAGAGTCGCGTGACAGACACAGTGATGATGCAGTACACAAGCCGCGGTTAAGACAGCTGACGTGCTATGATTTCTGACAGACAGTTCACTCTGCTGTGATGTGACCCTGTTCCCCTCACACACACACACACACACACACACGACACGTTACTCTGCCCAAAACTCCGCATTTGAACAGTCAAATAGCAAATACTTAAACTGATAACAAAACATACTTACAGTCGCTGATTCTGAAGCGCCAGATTGTCATAGCAAAGTCGGAATTGACACTTTTTTATTTTTTTAGAAATAGCCTTTGTGCACAGCCAGCCTTGTACTCTTCTAAGTCCATAAAATGCATTGCACAAAATCGAACATCTGGGTTGTGCTGTTCTGTTGTAATTTGTACATAAATCTGTTCCAATGATTCCTAATTGCATCTACTTCCGGAAGGCCAAATAAAGTGCTTTTGCTTTCGCACTGAATCACACAGCGTCTCCCTGACATGCTGCATCAACACGACTGCTGTTCCTGAAACCACGCCTTCTTTCTTTGCGTGCACATTTGGGCGGCATTATGCTAATATTTCCACAGAGAGATGTAGACATGTGGGGGCGTGTTAGAACGAGCCGTTTTAGGTAGACGTGGTTGACTCTTAACTTTTATAAAGAATATCTCTTTGGATTTGAGACTTTAGTGTTTGCAACTTTACAGATCTTCTTTATGCACCAAGAGCTCGTAACACACCAAAGAGAGGGAAAAATTGAAATTGTATCAGACGACCCCTTTAATTTTTACGTTTTATTTTTAGTTTGATACCTTGACAGTCTTTTGACTTTATATAGTAGATTTTGCTAGATTTTTGGTAGTTTTAAAACATACAGGCACCAACATGCCTGAGAAACTGTCACAGTATTTTCACAGTGAATTTCTGGCTGCTGGTTTTTACTGTAAATTTAACTATATCTTTTTTACAGAGTGGTGTTAGAAAGTTTTTGAACCCCTTTCTAGATTTCTGCATATATTTGATCTCCATTGTGATCAGATTTTCATTCAAATCTGGGATACTATAAAAGCATTATAAAGAAATTCATTTTATAAAGTAATTTGCTTTATAAACGAATTGATTGATCGAGTAAAAGTAAGGGTACTGGAGAGGGATGGATAAGTGGAGTTAATCCAAAACTAGAGATGCAGCTATGTTACACCACCTACCAGGTCGAGCAGGTGCATATCACTGTTCTTCACGTTCTTGCCCGGGCTCAAAAGCAAACCAAAACACCTGAAACACAAACATTTTCCTGACTGGATCAGAACCACACATACGGAACTCCACATATCAGCTGTTACACTGCATATTCGCACACCCAATCTGCGGGTGCGGAGCCTGAGAACACATCCATAAACAGAAAAGCACAGCTGTGCATTCAGGCAGGGTTGGCTTCAGTTCAACACAACATCAGTCAGCACAGAGAAAAACCATCCTACATGTTCTCATGGCCCGAAAGGAACACTTAAGCACAAAAAACACATAATTCAGCGCATGTTTATCATTAATGAATGAATTATTGGTTGTTAAAGGAGACGCGAGGTTCTTCTGGATGTCACTGCGGAAAGAACATACCTCTCGATGGCCAGCTCTTTGTTGGATGTCTGCTGGACGTAGATCACAATCTTTTTGACCATGCCTGGCCGCAGTTTGAAGCTCTGTCTGTCCTTGTCTTTTGATACGGCACTGTTGGTCACAAAGAAAGTTTTCAAATGCTTGCTTGGGTGAATCGCACATGTCCAGATTTTTACCTTGAAATTAAAAGATTTAGTTCTTATTTTGATGACAATTAAGCATATTTTCCCCCCTAAATTATTATTACCGCAATGTGTCTCCAACTTTTACAGCTTCTTATTAGATGCTCATTACTGTAGTAAACATTTTTTTAGTATTAAATAACCAGAAATTGAAAGTAAAAGCTTGGAGTAAATCAACAATTCAAAGCGAAATTGTTTACCGTCAAGTAAATTTTTTGTTGGTGTTTAAAATTGTGAGTGTGACATTGTGGTCAAAAGGTGATTTATGTGTTTATTAGCATTGTAAATAATATTATGAAATGTTACAATATTATGTAATATTACAAAATTTGATGACTCATTAGTCAAATAACACACTACTGTTCAAATGTTTGAGGCTGGTAAGAAAAAAAAAGAAAAAAGTCTCTTCTGCTCACCAAAGCTACATTTATTTGACCAAAAATACAGTAAAAAATAGTAATATTGTGAAATATTTTAACAGTTTTCTATTTGAATATACAGTCAAACCAAACATTATTCAGACACCAGATATAATTTTTGATATTTTTTTTATTAGTGGGTGCAGGACACTATAGAGTCGTTCGTTGTAGTTTTTGAAAAGTGATTTCTGTTAAATAAAATATATGGACTTTGAGCTTTGTAACTTTGCAGATCTTTTTTATGCTCAAACAGCAACATTACAGACTAACTAAAGTTGAAAAAGTGAAAAAGCTTAATAGGACCCCTTTAAGTAAGTGAGGATACTCTGAGTTCTTGTCATATTTTATTACCATTTTCTAAACTACAGCGAATAAACTGTGAGAATGTGTGAAATGTTGAAGGTGTCTGAATAAATTATGCTTTGACTGTATTTTAAGATGTTTTTATTGCTGTGATGCAAAGCTGAATTTTCAGCATCATTACTCCAGTCTTCAGTGTCACATGATCCTTCAGAAATCATACTGCGCATAAAACATTTCTGATTATCATCTATGCTGAAAACAGTTGTGCTGCTTTATATTTTTGTGGAAACAAAATATATGCACATTTATGCTATATATAAAAGGCTTTTTTTTTTTAAAGGAGCAAAAAAAAAGCTAAGACTAAAACAAAATCTGTCAAAATTAATGCGCATCTCTTGCATCCAAATGGAGCGAAAGGGCCTTTCAAGGTAATTTTGTCATTTTTTCCTGTTGTTTTTATCCAAAGTGACTTACAGTCCATTTATAACAGGGACAGTCTCTCTGGAGCATCAAGCTCAGGCTGATGGAGACAGTGCGGTTATTTTGGGCGCTTTAGCCCTTTCCTTAAATACTTTTCTGTCTTTTTCTGTGCAGCATTAAAAACCCAGTATAAACACACTGCATATAGGCCGCTAAAAGATTTACAAATAGCTCTAATTATTATTTAACTGTAATTTTATAATTATAATTTTAATAACATACATTTAATTAATCAATAAAATAATATTAATAATGACATTAAAATCAATATTAAAATATAATAGGGAGCTGTGGTGTTGTTCTTTATGTCAGTGCTGGTTAAATTGAACAATGCTTTTTTTTACAGTTGCATGTCAACAAGTCAACAAAGCATATGTTTCCTTTGAAGTGAGATCTTTACATTGCTTTACATTGCAGGTCTGTGTTAACAGAGCCCTGTGTAGAGTGGAGGAATTAGACGAAGATGTAAGGGATGATAAATGACAGGAAGCATGTGTCAACACTTCTGATAAAGAGAACAAGACGAAGGAAGAGGTGGAGGAACTGCAGATTTTGCTATTTTTATCATTTCCCTCATAAAACCGGGCAGATGACTTCCTCAGGCTGGATACCAGAAAAAACACCTAATTGAGTTATTCAGTTAGAGACGAGACCTCTAGGGTTAAACGCTGATATGAGTGGGAGAACTGAATCAACTTCAATGGAAGGAGAGAAGCAAAGTGATTCACCTAATTTTTTTTACAGTTGCATGTCAACAAGTCAACAAAGCATATGTTTCCTTTGAAATGAGATCTTTACATTGCAGGTCTGTGTTAACAGAGCCCTGTGTAGAGTGGAGGAATTAGACGAAGATGTAAGGGATGATAAATGACAGGAAGCATGTGTCAACACTTCTGATAAAGAGAACAAGACGAAGGAAGAGGTGGAGGAACTGCAGATTTTGCTATTTTTATCATTTCCCTCATAAAACCGGGCAGATGACTTCCTCAGGCTGGATACCAGAAAAAACACCTAATTGAGTTATTCAGTTAGAGACGAGACCTCTGGGGTTAAACGCTGATATGTGTGGAAGAACTGAATCAACTTCAATGGAAGGAGAGAAGCAAAGTGATTCACCTAAATGTGCCCTTCCCATCATCCTCTTTGATCTCCAGGCTGACGGTGAAGGTGAAGACGTCGCTGTCTGGCGTAAGGGGCGGAGCCTTGGCTGCGAGCGGTGCTTTATTGGCTGATCGGCGGAAAGCTGTGGCAAAGCTGTAGAGTATTCGGCTGACCTGCAAAGATGAACACACACACACACACACACACACACACACATATCTCAGTGACTGGAGTCAAAACAGTCTCCAGTGACACAGGCTGTGTTACAGTGACTCACTGTCGGACTGTTCTCAGGTTATCAACACACTCATTAGCACACACACACACAGAAATGCACCTGACAGCTGCATCCCTGCTGTTTTAATATTCTACTCCACACACAATTGGTAAGTTTCAGGATGGTTGACTGGCCGACCAACAATCAACTAGTCATTTAGTGTGCTAACAGAGTCAGTAGTACGGTAAAACTCTAAAAAGTTTCATCTTTTAAATGCATCACTGCCACGACACTCAAGTATGTGTGTACATATTCTATTTATTGGCTTAAAAATAACTTAACAGCTATAAACACTTGAATGCACATAATTTTGAATGCACATAAGCGGTTTTGCGCCAGTTTGTATTTGAGTTTTACTTATGATGGCTTTGATCGTTTTGTTTTTTTCAATAAAAGTTTATAGATAGGTAGCCTATTTACTTGTAGAATGTTACATCACTGAAGGCTGTGCTTAGTTATTACTTTTATATACATTTATTTGTTTTATCGCCATCAGTCAGAAAGCAAAGTTGTTTCATTTATATATATATACACACATATGTACACACACACACACACATATATATACTGTATATATAAATGGATCATTTTTAGAGCATCATTTTTTAGAGCTAAATTTCACTGCACAGCTGAACTTGTCACACATTGTGGAAGCAAACAGTTGATTTGTGAGCATTTCTGATATCATAGGACAAATAGTAACAACAAGTGCCCCCTCTTCAGACTAAGCCAGGAAACTGCAATTCTATCAGCAAGAAAAAAAATTACACGATACAAATCAATAAAGAGTCTCATGAAGAACAGGTCCGTATCATATTTGACCACAAAATCAAAAGAAAAGAAAAACAATAAATGAAGATTTTTAACGTTATGCTTCTCATTGCAAAGTACACTGTCCCCCAGAAATCTCATTAAGAAAAATAATTTCAGCATAATTAGCATAATACTAAACTCATCTTATCCTAATGCATTCCTTTTCCGTTTTTTTATTTATTTTTAAATACAGTACAACAAATACTATCAGAATATATATTGACAACTGCATTTTATAATATACTTATCAAATTATTATTTTTTTTTCACAATATTGAAAAAAAATGGAAAACTAGCTTAACTGTCATGAAAATAATGTCACAATGCAAAGAAATCTTAATGGTCCCAAAACAGGATTCATTTTCACATACACACACACGGTATGCAATATATATAATATATATTTTGTGTTGTATTTTTCTTTTAATTTTTTTTTTTTTTTTAGACATCTGGGTAAAATATAACCTGGATATTTCTTGACGGTCTTTGTAAAAATCACCCAAAAATTCACAAATATCATTCCACAAACTCTTTAAACCAATGCATGTGTGCAGTTATTTGTCTCACCGCCTCCTGGATCTCACAGCGGAAGACGTGGATGCGGAAGATCTCAGTGTTGTAGTGGCTCTCGGTAAAGGCGAAGCAGTCGCTCTCCGGCGTGCCGTCGTGGCCGCGAACACAGAAGAGGATCTTGTAAATGGGGTAGTTGGCAATCTCAGTGCTGGTCTGAGGATCCAACAGCCTGATGGGACATTCAAGTGCAAGATGATTTGATGGATTACATCTTGCGCTGTTTGAACCAACAATTTTCCAGTTTCCATCATTTCTTGTCTTTGTTACTTCTGTCGCTAGCTTCCTAACGTACCTGACGGTGCCCTCTGAGACTCCGGGCACAGAGAGGGTGACATCCAGGGGCATCTGGCACTGGCTGCGGAGGATGCTGACCATACGCAGAGCCTCCACCTCACTGCGCGGGGCGTTCACTGACGCACAGCCTAAATACGTCAGCTTACTGAACACCACGCTGTCTTCATCTGGGACAGGGGTACCCGGACTCAAGTCAGAGGGCTCATCTAGAAGCAGTGATGGGAGAAGAGACTCAAAATTTAATTTCTACATATAGAGTATCTGTCAATGTTTTACACACGCTTGACTTGGGGGGGGGGGGGGGGGGGCTTTTTGTATGTCGTC